GCTTTGCTTTGGTTTTGACAGTGGCATTAGGTGGCCGACCGTCCAGGAACAATGGCAAACTACTGGACGTAAATTTGCCCAGAGAAACCACACAACAGCCAGGGGCTGCTGGGGTTGGTTCATTTAACGTCCTGTAAAGGATACGCAACTAATTTTCAGGGCCCCTGGCAAAAGCCGAGGTGGGGCTTCAAAAAATTGCATCCTAAAAGGGGAGGACTCATTACAGGCATCAAGAAGTAATGAAAACTGTTTATTTAAACTACGCCTGTACCGAATATTCGCTTCGTATTCGTTTCGGGACCGAATAGTGGACCTATTGACTATTCGGTATTCGGCCGAATAGTTGCGGTCGGGCAGAATACGAATAGTTGTTACCTTACACCTGCTTCTGCATACACTGTCTTAATACTGACAACATGGAACGATTGGTTTTGTTTGAAGCTAATGCAGCTTTCATGCATTAAGTAAGCTGTCAGTGACAATTTCCAAAAATTAGTTACTTGTTATAATACTTAGGATTCTTTCCTTCTTAGTTATTAGTTACCACAGACTGACTGAAGGATGCAAAACATAAAATGTTTTTAAATGTTTACTGTTCTGTACGAATACTAACTAGACATGGAAAGAATATAAACTCCGGCCACATCCAAGTCGATATGAAAATCAAACCAACGGAAACATAAAACGGGAACCCAAAAAAAAAAAAAAAAAGAAATTCGTGTGATAATGTCCAGCCAGACCTGCAAACAACTGGTGTCACAAATTGTGAAGAGAAGGCCAACCAGAGAGATGAATGGAGACGCCGTAAACCTCAAGGGCTCAGAGTGCTAAAGAAGAAGACTATTCTGTGCTACTTTATGTGAAGTAAAAGTTAAGCGTACACTTGACATTATGAATGTGTATATATTACACTATACACTATTAGTATTCGTATTCGGCCGAATAGTTGGTCCAGTTATTTTATTCGGCCGAATAGTAAAAATCACTATTCGGTACAGCCCTAGTTTAAACTATACATTTCAAGAACACATGTTGGCATATGAAATGTTAATGTATCCTTAGACCGAATGGTGTTATCTCATTTTAATATCCCAAAGATAGATTACGCGTCATGCTTATCATAATTATTTACAAAGTACTGTTATTACATGGGATGTGCCGTGGTGTAGCTCCTACACTCTCGCTTGCGGAGTCAAAGGTCGTGAGTTCAAATCCGAGCGGAGCTGGATATTTTTCTTCAAAAACTAACTTAGCTCCCAAGTCAACCCAGCTTTAAATGGGTACCAGGTAAAGCACTGGGAAGTAAAGGCGGTCGGCGTACTGGTGACCACATCGCCCACCGAGTGCTGATTGGTGTATAAAATAAAGGTCCAGCCCTTTTGTGCATAATACACCTGAAGACATGGGAAAGTCTGCTTCACTCCTAATTATTTATTAAATTTAACAAAAGACACTCCTACAATCTTTTACAATTAAAACGTAACCTATGCAATAATAAGTGACCAAAAGTAATTAAGAATCATAAAAGGATAGTTTCGTATCCTTTATAGGACTTTGCAGGATAAATCTCAGCATTTGTTTTGGCTGTTGTGGCTTTTCTAGGCACAGTTTACGTTAAGTAGTTTGCCCTTGCTTACTCAACTGTCGGCTTTCGATAAAACTGTCAAAATTAAAACAAGACATTTCATCCGCAGCTGGAATCGAACCCGGCACCCTGGCACCACGAAGCGCGTTCGCATACACACACACACACACACGCACACACACACACACACACACACATACACACACACATACATACATGCATACATGCATACATGCATACATGCATACATACATACATGCAGGCAGGCAGGCAGGCAGGCAGGCAGGCAGGCAGGCAGGCAGGCAGGCAGGCAGACAGACAGACAGATAGACAGACAGACAGACAACACAAGTTTAGGCTAGCCGACGGAGCTACTAGGCAAAGTTGATTAACATAATTATTCACTAAAAAACTGAGCCTAGCTGGTTTACAGCTAAGCTGCGATATTTGCGCTGTTTAGCCCAACGCATCCACTTTCTAGAAATAACGACCCCCCCCCCCCCCCCCCTCATAAAAAAAATATATTAATATAAGCAATAACAACTTCAATAAAATGTGAGATTTCAGAAACAATTCAGAAAGCCATAATCCCACATATCTGCTTCAAGCCAACCAGATAACCAAGGCATTTCAAAAGAGTGTTCTTCAACTTTTTGGTTGTTGCTGACACCAGCAAACCAGATTTTATGAGGAAGTTTGTTGCGCTCCTGCTGGCCGTTAAGGCAGCAGCAAAAACAAATATAAATCTAAAGTCTCCTTACACCCCAGTTGCGTATCGAGCATATAAGGCTAGATTTTCTTTTATAGACGATGGGTTGTGTGGTCAACATCACGCCGGCCGCCTTTATTTCCCTGAAATTTACCTCCTACATACTTAAGGCTGACTGGAGCCAATGTCGTGTCTGAAGAAAAAACAGAACTATGCGGATTCGAACCTACGACCTTAGGATCCGCAGGCGAGTGTTTAGCCGCTACACCACAGCTGCTTCAGAAAAAGAAACGTAAATATAAGAAAAGAAAATGTGTACTCTACAGACACGAGATTATCTGCGGTGAAGCCACTACTTGCTGTCTCTGAGAATATTACGTGTTGAGGTCCCAACCTCTATTATATGGTGTGACTCTCATAGGTTTATCTGAAAGCCATAAGAACGGGCGTTTTCTAATAAAACGAACCATTGTACGTTTAAATTTGTGAAACGAAGTCTCTAGCTTCTCAGAAACTAAATGAAGACATCATTGTATGCATTAAATCTAGCTGTAGAATTAAATTTTCAGTTAATGCGACATCTGCTACTCAGAAGATATAAAATATCAAACTTTGCTGGGACGTTGTTTCTGAGAGCGAAGCGCTGCAATATAAATTCGATTTAAAAACTGAAACTGCTAATACGTCAGGTAATACATAGTCGCGGGCAGCATCTCATTATCTCAGTGACAACTTAGTGTCTTAATGATGTAACCTCTACGTGACTAAGCGGTCATTTTTGTGTGGTCCACATGGAAATGCTCCGCAGATTACACGCTGAAGAACATTGATTTAAACTATCTGCGTATCGAAATCAGCCAGGATTTGGTATCGCTGCTGGCAACAGTTTTTTTTTTTTTGCTGCGGAGGGTTCAAAGGTTTTCATGTCACTAATTTAAGAGACTGGCTGGGGGGAAAGGCACGCAATAACAATCAGTAACGTAAAATACGTAGAGAGGTGTGGTCGCTCTCTCTGTCTCTCTCTCTCTCCAAGTAAGTAAAGAAACTTAATACAATATTTTTATATTCGTTTATTTTAGATCGGTGTGCTGTTTTATTACCTCATCATCATCATCATCATCATGTAGCATGTCCTTTGCTCTCATCACAGTCTGCCTGAAAGAAACTCGGTCTCTCGCCAGTTCTCCCGCCTCATGCATTTTCACATTCAAGGAGTCACTTATATCCTGTGCCCATCTTCGTGTCGGTCGGCCGATGCTCCTCCTTCCTGGTACCATGCCTTCTGCTATAATTTGTTCCAATCCGTCGTGGCGCTTGATATAACCAAAATATTTCAGCTTTTGAGAAAGGATGCTGTTTATTAGCCAATCTTTCTTGATGTTCATTTTTGGCTTCCATGATGAGTTTCTTGGGATAGTAATGTGGTAGTTTCCCGTTGCTTTCCACATCCACATGGCTTTAGACTACGTCCTCAGCCTTCAGCAACCTTTTCGATTGCTAGGGCAAGTGAGTGCCCTGCTCTGTGATGCTCCTGCTAACAGCAGAGGACACCCCAGAGGTGTCCACGTATCCCGGCGGATACTCGGTCCCCATAGCTGCGTTGGCCGCACCGCAGTGTGTTTACCGTCCTCTACCCACTGCAGGCTGCGTGGATTTTTATCGTGGTATGGGACGTCGCAGGTCGACCCAGCCTAAAATGGGTACCAGGATGGGCTGTCCTGGGAAAGTAAAGACAGCCGGTGTAATGCTGACCACATTACCCACAGAGTGCTGATAGTCTGTAAAAATATGGGACGCTCTGCCCATATGCCCGATGCGCCGAAAGGCGTGAAAAGGGAACTTTACTTTTTACCTTATGGAGGTGCAGATGGGGTTTTTCCTTAACTGAGTCTTAAGACCAGAATGGCATTTCCCAAAACTCTACAGTACTTTCAGAGGACATTTAATTAACTAAGAGATTTAAAAAACAATTTGTAGTAGTTTTAGTTTTCGTACAGTTTAAAACTTCATCAGTGCCTCTAATACATCTAGCATAGTAGTAGAAGTAGCAGCAGCAGCACCAACAATAGTAGCAGCAGTAGCAGCAGCAGCATCAGAAACAGTAGTAAGTAATATAGTAGTGGAAATAGTAGTAATAATATTAGTAGTAGCAGCAGTAGTAGTAGTAATTGTAGCAACAGCAGCAGCAGCAGTTGTAGTAGTAGTAGTAGTAGTAGTAGTAGTAGTAGTAGTAGTAGTAGTAGTAGTAGTAGTAGTAGTAGTAGTAGAAGTAGTAGTAGTAGTAGTAGTAGTAGTAGTAGTAGTAAAAGAAAAGGACCCTTTTCCACGCCTTAGGCGTAAATGGCATTTGGGCTAGACCTATATCTTAAAGACCAATTGTCACTCGGTGGGTAATGTGAGTCATATCACCACGCCTACACACTTGCAACCAGTATAAATGACGTTATACAGACGCATTGCACCTGTCCAAAGATATCCTATAGTAAACAACCGGTTAAAGTAGGGAAACCGACTTTCTCTTGATGACAGGGTTTTAACGCGCATGTGAAAGATAGTGTCATTGAGTACATAAAAGAACAGTAGAAAGAACCCAACTCCTGGACAGATGGCCATTGCATGACTCCAGAAAATTACTGACGGTACTTTCTGTGTTATTTACCTAATCCTTGTTGTCTGTTGCAGATTCACGTTGTCCCGTAACAGAGA